TATTGAAAAATATTATTGGTTAATGTTGGTGCTTATAAGAATGTTAACTGTTACATAAAATAAACATCAGTTAGAACATCGGTTATTATCATACTATTTATTAATTATACATACATACATACATTAATTATAATTATCATTCTCAGCAGTGAATTTGCATTACATTACATTTTAAAAGGTGATGGTTTGACTAAATCTTCAATATCATTATCATCAGTTTTGGTTCTTTTCGTTTGTTTTTATCCTCAACATTTTTTTTAGATTCTTTTTCTTTCTACAATTGGTTTTTATACATTTTATGTACACATTTCGAAGTAATACTGCTTCTAATTTCAGAAAGCGTGCATTTTCATTGTAAGCCCTTTTTCATTGACGAACCAACACGTTCTCTAGATTAGATAACTACAGAAAGAAATACTTATAAGTCAACAATAGATTCAATTCGAGCAAACATTTTGGAACCTCTTGACAATATCAAATGAATCAGACGTTAATACAACAATAGAGGCATGGCGATATTTTTGTTATATTTTGATAAAATAATACTGAAGTTTCATACCGAGATTATAAAGCATTAGATTGGTCAAGTATAACACAACCTACAAAAAAATTGCTCAGCTTCTTGTTTTTACAGGAATTCGCGAATTCCCGAATTCTCGAAATCCCTTGAAATCAAACAGGTGAATAATATGTTTGTAGCTTGTGTTATACTTGACTAATTAATTGCTTTATAATCTCCGTATGAAACTTTAGAATTATTGGATCCAAATATAACATAAATGTTGCCACCCCGCTATTGTTGTGTTACCATCTGATTCAATGGTTTTTTTTTTCGTCGAGAAGTTTCTTTATATCAATCCCTTTCTGCGATTATCTGCTTTAGACAACGTTTCAGCCCGTCAATGTCTTTGAATTTTCTTTAATTGTTATTTCTTTCATTTTAGCTGTTCTTTCGGGTTCCTGATGTTTATAAAACTGATTGCAAAGGATTGAAACTAGGAAGAGATCAAATTAGTTACCAGTTCTTACATTGACATCATTTAGTGGTTGATTTTTTTTTACTTATTTACCTTTTATAAATTATAGATTATTAGAAGATGCTGTAAAAAGAAAAGTTGGAATTAGATATCAGAAAATCCTACAAAAGTTAGTGTTTTATAATAAGAAAAATAATTTGATCAGGTAAGATAACTAGAAACATTGTAGAAATTGCATATTCTGTTGGTACACTATTTCTAAAGCCACATTTTTGAGTTAACCTTAATACTGCATCTACTAATTTTTTTATCTTTCTGTTCAAGTTTTTTTTCAATATTTAAATTGAAATAAAGTATTGTTTTTCCACATAAAACGAATAGATTTACTGATCAATGTAGAACAAACAAAAATAATTGCAGGTTTATACTTTGAATGTAATAAAAATAATAGATAAAAATTATAATAATTTTACTTACTTAGATATATTTAAAATTGAACGCAGGAAGGACGGACGAATACCAGAAACTGATCTGACTGGAGCAAACTACATGCTGCTAGTGTGGACTATTTCATTTCTTTTCGACGAAAAAGTAAAAACGATGAAATGGAACAAAAATAAACTGATTTTTGCAAAGACGTTATTTTTTTAATTTGAAACGAAAGATATTGATCTATGCAAAACTCGTATATTAATACATTATGAATTATTACACATTTTATACATCGAATCATTATTTTATTTCCATAGTTGATCAATAGTTGACTCATATTTTTATTCGAATATTGGTAATTTCTCTTCATTTTTGTGTATAAAATATTTTAATTCTATTCGACATTTGAAGAATCAGAAAAAATATATTCTCATTACTTTCAATCTTTCTCAAAAATCTTGTATCATGAATAAAGGTATAATAAAAAAAAATTACAAAATTTCTCTTATTTTAAAAAAATACACAAGTGTTACAAAATTAATTTTCTTACTTTTATAATTTTACAAATAATAATATATCATAATGACTTTTATAAAATTGAGAAACATCTTTCTCATTTATTAATGAAGTACATGAAAAATATAAATTAATGTCAGTAAATGCTAAATTTGCATTGAGTGACAATTTAAAAACATAACTAATCTACTTCTGTAAATATTAATATTTATAAACAATTTATATCATAATGGTGCATGAAATATCTTCATTGCAAGTATATGTTTGTAATGAAAAATAAAAGTCATTATTTTAGTAAGTAACTTTATTTGATATGAACTTATGTTTAAATTAAGTTGTTTGGTAATTTGAAGGAGACTTTTAGTTTTCATTATATAAATTTTACATGTAAATTTATAAAAATATATTATTCTGGAAGTATATAAACTTTAGAAATATACATAAAATATTGATTTGCTATATATTATTTCAAATATATATACATAGAGACATACTTATTTGCTTTGGTTTTCTTTTCCTTTTGCTGATCTTCCGCTAGTTGATGCTTTGACTAAATCCTTATTATTATGCTCATCGCTTTTAGTATTTTTTGTTTTACCTTGTCTTTTATTACGTGATGGATTGACCAAATCCTCAATTACATCATCATCATTATCTTCATCATCAGCAGCAGCATCATCATAATCATCATCATCTACAATATCATGATCATCATCAACAACATCATCACCGATACTGGTTCTTTTAGATTCTCCTTCTTTTAGAATCTCGTTCTTTCTCCAACCGTTGTTTATACATTTTGTTTTCATCAGCGCATTTAGATGTAATGGTAGTTCTAATTTGAGCTCTTGTACAACTAGAATTCGATTCTACAAACTCAATAATATCATCTACTATTTCAGGATTTAACCGTTTCTTAACTTTTATTGTATCTTGTTTGAATGCTGGGCTTGCGAGTCCGGTTAGAGAATGGGTCGCTAAATGTTCTCTTGAAAACAAGAGGCCTAGCAAGTGTTTGGTTGGTTGTGTCGTACTCTTCCAATTTAATGCTTCATAATCTTCGTATAGAATTTTATTATTATTTTTGCCAAGATTTACGTAAATATTTCCATTTTCTTCTATCGTGTTAACGTTGGATTTTATAACAAAAGACTCCATATTTGATCGAATTGTATCGACTATTTGCTTATAGGAATCTTTTTCCCGCGTTAGGTCAGCAATCTCTTTAATATATTTTGCAATTATTTCAGATTCCTGCCTTTCAACATATATATTGAAAAGCATCTTAAATCGCATGTAGAGTGTTTCATAGCTATCTGCATAATTAAATAATTATTAAAATTTAATATGATACTAGGAAAAGATCAAATTACTTACCAGCCACTGTTATTATTGTAGCCTTCATAAGTGCTGATCCACAAGTTACGTTGACTTCATTTCCTGGTTTAATATTTTTATTTTTTCCAATCCGCAGAATTCTGTCCTGGTTAACAATTTCATATTCACGTCCAGACTTGGCTTCTTTGTAGTTCACTAGGCACCAGTGCTGATTTTCGGCCGACATTTTCGGTGCTGTAAAAAAAAGTATGAATTAGATATCAAATCCAAGAAATTTAGCTTCCAGTAAATCTATATGTTTCCTAAGATTATATTTTATAATGAGAGTAAAACATAAATCGTCCTAAAATGGTAGCTGGGCAGCTACCTTGCCTCCACAAATTAATATTATTACATTCTATATATAGCAATTTACTCAGAGATATGAACAGGATAAGTATTAAAAGGCAACTTCTATAAACGTATCAGAATACATCTAAATATTGTCATTGCGTGAAAAATAAAATGATTGGGAAACAACGGTGGAGTCTAATTTAGCGGAAAAGAAATGTATAATATTTGTAGAAAACACTTTTTCCTAAACAACATTTACATGGTAACCTATGATTCAATTGAATTATCAATTAAATCTGAAACACATTCAATAGGATAGAATAGTTTTTAATATTAATATGTCATATCAATACCTCAAAACAAGCTTTTTTAAATATTTAAATTCAAGTATTTTATTTATGGGCTGAGATTGACGAGATAATTACAGAAAGAAATACTTATAAGCAAACAATAGATTCAAATCTAGCAAAGATTTCGGAACCTCTTGATGACATCAAATGAATGAGACCGTAACACCACAAAAGATGGGAGGCAATATTTTTGTTATATTTTATAAAATAATACTGAAGTTTCATACCGAGATTATAAAGCATTAGATTGGTCAAGTACAACATAACTTACAAAAAAATTGCTCAGTTTCTTGTTTTCACAGGAATTCTCGAAATCTCTTGAAATCAAACGGGTGAATAATATGTTTGTAGCTTGTGTTGTACTTGACTATTTTATTCTTTATATCAATCCCTTTCTGCGATTATCTCTTTTAGACAATGTTTCAGCCCGTCAATGTCTTTCAAATTTTTTTAATTGTTATTTCTTTCATTTTAGCTGTTCTTTCGGGTTCCTGATGTTTATAAAGCTGATTGTAAAGAGTCGTGGAGTGAATCATGGTTATCTGAATAATTAAATATTTTTTAAAATTTAATTTTAAACTAGGAAGAGATCATATTAGTTACCATCGACTGATATTGTAATTGCTATTCTATATTCTGATCCAGTTCTTATATTGACACCATTTTCTGGTTGTTTTTTTCATTCTTTTGCTTTTATAAATTATAGAATATTAGAAGGTGCTATAAAAAGAAAAGTTGGAAATATATATCAGAAAATCCTACAAAAGTTAGTTTTAAAATAAGAAAAATAATTTGATCAGGTAAGAAAAGTAGAAAATTTGTAGAAATTGGTAGAAGTTGCATATTCTGTTGGTACACTATTTCTAAAGCCACATTTTTGAGTTAACCTTCATACTGCATCTACTAATTTTTTTATCTTTCTGTTTTTTTTTAAATATTTAATTTAAAATAAAGTATTGTTTTTTCATATAAAACGAGTCAATGTAAATCAAATAAAAATAATTGCAGATTTATACATTGAATGTAATAAAAATAATTGATATTAATTATAATAATCATACTTACTTAGGAATATTTAAAATTGAACACAAGAAGGACGGACAAATAACAGAGAGTAATCTGGCTGGAGCAAGCTATATGCTGCTAGTATGGATTATTTTATTTCTTTTCGACGAAAAAGTAAAAACGATGAAATGGAACAAAAATGAACTGATTTTTGCAAAGACGCTATTTTTTTAATTTTAAACGAAAGATATGGATCTATGCAAAACTCGTTATATTGATACTTTATGAATTATTAAACATTTTATACATCGAATCATTATTATATTTCGATAGTTAATCAATAGTTGACTTGAATATTGGTAATTTTTCTTTATTTTTGTGTATAATGTATTTTAATATTTGATATGTATTTATGTCAAAGTAAGTTGTTTGGCAATTTGAAAGAAACTTTTGGTTTTCATTATATTACATGTAAAATTTAAAAAAATATTGATTTTCCATATATTATAACTTTTTGTACAACTACAATAACTTCACACAATTAAAATGCATCAATAATATTGTATAACTGCAAACTGCTGTTTAAGCTATCACCATAATGTTATTAAATAAAGAGAATATGATTATTAATTAAATAATTAAATTCACAATAAATGAAAATAAGGGAATGAAAATAAAATATACGCAAGATAAATTCAATAGCAAACTTTAGAAATATATATACACAGAGAGATACTTATTTGGTTTTGTTTTCTTTTTCTTTTACTGATGTTCCAGTAGTTCCACATGAGTTTTAGTGGAATTCGCTCGACTAGTTGATGCTTTGGCTAAAACCTTATTATTCTTCTCAACGCTTTTTATATTTTTTGTTTTAAGTTGCCGTTTATTAGGTGATGGATTGACTAATTCCTCAATATCATTATCAGCATCATTTTGGATTTCGAAAGTCTTTTACTAGTTGATACTTTGACTAAATCCTTATTACCATCCTCACATATTGCTTGAGATTGTCGTTCTTTCTGCAACTGTTTTCTATACATTTTATACTCGTCAGCACATTTCGAAGTAATCGAGGTTCTAATATGAGCTTTTGTGCAACTACTATTAGATTGTACAAACTCAATGATATCTTCCACTAACTGTTCCTTGAACTGTCTTGCATTTTTGATTACATTGCTTGCATTGCTTGCGAGTCCTGTTAGAGAATGGGTCGCTAAATATTGTCTCGAAAATAAGAATCCGAGCAACTTTTTGGTTGGTTTTCTCGTATTGTTCCAATTTATTGCTGCATAATCGAGATATGCTACTTTGGTATTATTTGTGCCAAGAATCACGAAAGTTTCTTCTCTCTCTACTATCGTCTTAACGTTCGATTTTTTATTGTTCGGAAGCGAATTGAATGTTTCTTTACGGAAATCTCTATCTGCAATTGCTTTTTTTAGTGAACGATTTAGCTCTTTCTTATTATTAACCATTGTTTCATATTGCTGCTCGTTATAACATACTTTGCAAAGAGTCTTAAATCGCTTGTAGAGTGTATTATACCTATCTAAATAATTAAATAAATATTAAAATTTTATATGACACTAAGAAATGATCAAATTATTTACCTTCGACTTTTATTGTTGTAGCCATCATACATATTGGTCCAGTCAATACGTTGACTTGCATTCCTGGTTTAATATTTTTATTTTTTGCAATGTTAACAATTCTGTTGTGGTTAACAATTTCAAATTCACATTCTAATTTCATTTCATAGCTAACAAGGTACCAGGGCAGATTTTCGGCTGACATGTACATGTTTCTAAAAGGTGCTGTAAAAAGAAAAGTATGAATTAGATATCAAATCCAAGAGTAGTTATTTAGCTTCCAGTAAAATATATATGCTTCCTATGGTTATATTTTATAATATGGCAGCTAAACTATTGCAATTTACACTTGACAACAACCATTGAACTTGAGTACAATAATTACAACAACAAAAATAGTGTATCTTATAGAATCAAGACTGCAACAACTATTTCAGTTGTTTTCCTGTTAACAGTATGTAATTCTAATGTGATATATTTATGTGTAAAGAGAACATAATTGGAAAACAACGGCAAAATCTAATTTGACAGGTAAAGAAATTTGTAGAAAACATATTAGATAGAAATTGTATTTTCTGCTCGTTTAAGTACAGCACACTTTTTCTTAAGTAAACTTTTCGTGTTAACCTTCATAATGTTTTAATTTAATTATCAATTAAATCATAAACAAATCCACTAGGATAGAATAGGTTTCAATGTTAATATGTCATATCAATACCTCAATACCATTGGATAATATTAAACCTCTTTTGGAAAATTAATTGATTATTGGATAACAAATAAAATAATTTCTAAATAATACAGGGTCAAAAATAACTCTTATATTTCAAAACGAGATTTAAACTCAATCTTAATCTACTCTAAGTCACTTTTCTTTGCAAAATGCAAATATATAAACTGAGATTTTTTGCTACTTTTTATACAAGGTGCGGCAGAAATAACTCGCATATTTCAAAAGGGTATTGAAAAAATTGCTACGAGGTGTTACCAATAGCTTTTTATTTTCCAAACGTAGATATAAAAAAAAATTAAAAAAATATATCATCCAAATAGTGGTGTATTTTAAATTGATAATAATTGATTGAAACGGACAAACCAATACCAAAAATTGATCTGGTTAGGAAAGCTACAAGTTCTAGTATAGACGATTCCTTTAAATTTTTGAACGATTTGAATTTTTGAAAGCGAAGAAGTGCCAAAAAAATCAACTGATTTTCCAAGCAACGGGTTGTAATTGCAAAGATTTTTTTAAATTATAAAAGGAAGATATAGATCCAAGCATATGAATAAATGTCAAGACACTGACTGACCACTTTAAGCAACGAGCTGCAATAGTTTGAATGCTTGGTCAGAAGGGATTTGGTACCTTTTAAATGGAAATACTAAGAAACGTAATTAGTTGACCATTTGGCAATGTTGCATACAATTTTTACTTCTGTTAATGTTGTTCAGAGAACATAGTCAAGTGAAACTTGTATTTTCATAAAGTATTTATTACATCCAATCAAAGTTAATCAATATTTGATACATATTTACACCCCAATATGGACAATCTATTAATCTATTAATATTGAATACATGCATTTAATTTTATACTAATTGACATATTTTAAGTTGTAAGCAAAAATAAATGATATTAGAATAAAAATAATTTATCTTAACAGATTTTGAGAATATATAACCTTGAACAGTCCTAAGAACCGAATGGACCGAGGTAAGGATGGTTGGGAAAAAACCTTTTACTAACACATTTGAATCCATAAAGAGGAGGAACGCGATTTTAAATCTGAAAAAGTCCAGTTTTTCGTACCTGCTGTACAAAGGAGCGTTCAGTTTTTCAATAATCGAAGACATATCTCTCGCAAATATTTATATTTACAATATTTTTGGCAGGAATATTGCATTTTATTTTATTTTACAAATCACTGGCAGAAGTTCATTTTTTTAGATTCTTATTAAGTAATTTGATATAGTTTAATGGACAAGGCTCTGATAACTTTAAATTGAAGGCCAGCAATTCAGCCAGTGTAATTGTTACATCGATACTTCATACAAATAATTTAAAAATGCAACTAAAAATTCCCTATATAAACTAAGATTTTTCTCTATATTGGCTTTCACTGAGATTCAAACTGAAACTTTTATTGTGTGATTTCAGGAGTTCCAGGCTAACAACTTAACGTTAATTGACACTAAGTCACCTTTTTTTTTTGGAAATATGTGATGCATACTTCATACAAATCATTTAGAATATACAACTATAAATTCTATCTATAAACTGAGATTTTTAATATTTTTGATTTCAACGGGATTGGAACTCAAACGTTTTTTATCGAAATTCAGTCTAATAACTAAACGTTTATCGGCTCTAACTCAACTTTCTTTACAGAATGCACCTAAGATGAGGAAGAAAATTACCTGATGCAAGTAACACATTTAGACTTTTTTCATTATGTGTGTACCGCTTAGGCTAGTATAGAGAAGGGAGTGCAAAAGAAAAGAGGTACAGATTCAATGCATTCTTTAAGTTCAGTCAGTGGTCGGCAAACTAGGAACCGCTCATTAGATATTCATATGTGGCTTTGAAGTAAACTTGAAAATTAAACTAAAATCGTAGTTTCAAATACGAAATGTTAAAATATTATTTCTTGGCTCTCAAATATTAAGTATTATTATCTGTTGATTATTTTCCCTCATGAGAGATTTTTGCTACATTTAGATGTATCTTGTATAAACTGCTATGACATACAGCATTTACTTTTCCGTTTCAAAAGTCGACACTGGAAAAAAAAAATCTTTTCTTTATTCATTTATTAATGTGTAGTAATGTAGTTGAAATTATACTATTTAAAAATATTATTTTCGAAATTTCTTATTGCAAATATTATTTATTTATAAATACAATATTTCATCAGTAGAAGTGCCAATATGAATTATCACAGTAATTAGAAAAACGAAAAACGACACAATTAAACTGTGTACTATTTTTTTTGTAAGTATTAATTTCTTGCCAATAATGTTCTAATTGCTATTTCTTATAATCTACAGTGCCATAAATTTTATAATTTGAAATGTTGCAAGTATTTAATATTAACTATAAATATTTCTAATTATTGAAATCAATCAAATTGAAAAAATATTATTATTTTTTAAGTATTACTTTCTTAAAGATTTTAACAAAAAAAAACATTTCTTACAAAAGTAATATTCTTATAATTGAACAAAAACATTTTAAACCTTTTGTATAAATATTTTGTCATAAAAAGTAAATGAAGTAATGATTATATAAAACACATTAAAAGTGTCAAATAATTACGTTAAATTACTCCGAAACCTTTCATTTTTTTAAAGCATTTAGTATAGATTACTACATAGCTAATTTTACATATCTATCTATTAAATGTTGTTTATAATTATAAATTAAAATGTTTATTTAGTAAAACCAAAATTAACATATATAACATTCAAAGA